TTCTACCTTATTTTCAGCCGGTAATATAGAAAACCGAAATTCCTGCTTTGCGGACTGTTGGCAATGGAAGAATCTACTTTATCCTCAGTCGACAAAGAAGAAAACCAAGTTTATTCTTTACCGACTGCTGGTAATATAAAATTCTACTTTATCATCAGTCGGTAAGGAAGAAAACCGAAATTTCTATTTCCAGTAGGTCTAGTGAATCGAGAATGTGAAATTAAACGGAAAACACCACAAATTTTGTTTATAAATTCTTTTTATATTGATAAATAAGTTTTCTATCACGGATTATATAAAAGAAAGTTTAAAATTAAACTTTAATTTTGTATATAGCGTCCAATGAAAAGGATTGAAACATTTTACGATCAAAGGTTGATTCGCGCGCGCAATAGAAGTTGGCGAAAGTGAGAATATAGCTCTTTATCCCATGGGAACGGTTTAGCAATCAAGTCTCGCCCCCCCCTTTCGTAAAGTCCCTTCGTGTTCTTTGTCTCTCTCTCCCTCTCTATCTCTCTTGAAGCACAAGTACGACAAGTCAAACGAATGTTTGTGTTGTCCTGTACATTGTAGATTGTAGATTGCAAGACTTGTATAGTGTAACATGTAACATAGGAGAGCACAAACTCGGAACATATTGACGCTATACTATGTGGGGTTGGTTTCGAACATTGCAAGAGGACTTGAAGGAACTTTCCTTTCATTGTACTCCAGAGAAAATGCAGCTGCACACGTCTAAATGTATTTCATCCTTATTCCCGCATTTCTTAGATCTGTTTCTCAATTATTGCCTTGAAGTAAGTTCGCCTTGATAAAGAGATAAAGGCTTTATAAAACCTAATGAAAAGTAAGGGCACGAAAAAAAGGACCTTTTTTCACAATATAAAAAATTGAAAATTATTTCATTAAAGAAAAATCTTTTGACTATTTCAAAACTTATTTTTTAAATGTCCTTTGTTGTTAAAAATAATTTTTTTTAATCCACTTTGATTATTTACATCCAATATAGAATAAAATTTTCTAATGAAATTTATTCTCTACATATTGAAAGAGGTATATATATTTTTATCAAAGAAAATTTTATCATTTCAGTAAACATAAAAAAAGAGAAATTCTAGTTAATTCGATTATCATTTTCTCCTCTTCTCTTTTTCCAATGTATTCTTCAGCAGATGAAAAATCCCACGAGACAATTGAGTGGTCCAGAGGACTTAAGCGTTACTATAGAAACGAGGTATATATATATACACACACATTTATTTTTTCCCCGAGAAAATCAGAATTCTCCAATTAGAGTTTTCATTAATGAATTCTTAAAAATTCATAAATACTTGAAAAAATAACGAACATTTTTAACAATAAAAATTTCGTTTCGAGTCACATTCTTTTGGGTAAAGAATAAATCACTGCGATAACAGAAAAGAATGCGATAAAAATAAAAGTGACCGGATGTAAAATTCTTGTTTTTTGGTTTAAGCATGGACTGAATGTATAAATATATATATATAATATATGACAAAGTGCCAAGTTGACTAAAAGTTCATGAAGAATGGGAAATGAAAAACTGAAAGAATCATATATGTAGAATTGGGTCGTAGTCCTGGAAATGTCGTTCTGCTTTTATATATATATATATATATATATATATATAAGTTGACCTCTAGAAAAATGTCTTTGCTTTTAACCATCTTCGAACTCGAGAAAAGTAGCTTCTCATGGTTAAGCAGTTGAAGGGGTCTCGGTTCACAAAGTGCTCTTGAGCTCGCTATGAGAAATTGCTAACTCGATTTTCTTCTTTGCAAAAATTTACCGACAATATAACGTATGTCAAAACCACTTTTCAAAAAATCGAGTCCATCATAAAACTTTTTGTATCTCATTTATAAGTCAGATTTGATTTTTTTTTTTTAAACAATTTCTCATAATAAATTTCTTCTATTTAATTTTTAAACTAAAAATAAAAAAATTACTTTGAAAATGAAAGATAAAAGATAAATTTAAATATTTTAGCAATTAGAAATACCTCCAGTCGGTATGGAGGGAAACTTTACCGACTGTCGATAAAGTTATCATCTCCTTTACCAGCTGTCGGTAAGGAAGATGTTTTTATAATCCACTGTTAATATTTTTCAATCTAAAAATAATAATTTAAAGATTCTTTTTGAAATTGTTTTTAGGAAAGGGAAGAAATAAAGGGTTAATAAATTTTAGTCTAAAAGTTGTAATTAGTATTACAATGCATTTGATTAATTCAATAGAGTTTATCGGATAAAATTCTCATTAGTATAGAGAATAGAAGGTGATTTAATTTTTTTTTGTTATACACAAAGAACCTACAAGTCGATGAAATCGCAAAAGGAGTAAAAGTTTTATTAGAGTACTCTCAATAAATTTTCTTTTATGCAAACTGCGGGAAAAGCGCAGAAAGTGTAGGAGATAACAGTAGAGAGTTTGTTCCCTTAACTTCTCAAGCGGACCTTTTAGCCTTTTGTTACCAACAACCAGAATTTCCATTGTTCTATACGAGCGCGAACAGTAATTCTAGACTTTTTATTTGAATTTCCATTTTCACAATAAAAAATTACAATCTCATATGTTTCTTTTCTGCGGTCATCAAAAAAAAAAATAATAATAATAACTAATTCCTTTTATTACTAATGCTAATTTTTGCTAAAAATTTATTTAAAAATTACAACTTTTTATTTTCATTTAAAGAGAAATTGAATTTTCAAATTGGAATCGTTTTTGGGATATATAACTACCACTTTTGGTTTAAATAAAAATAAATAAATAAAAAACAAGACTTGCAAGTTTAATGTATTTCTGAAAATTGATTACAGGAAAAACAGAAAAGCGATTCATTAAGGACACGCTCTTTTAAGCACAGAAGTAAAGTAGACGTGGGAGGACGCGCATAAAATGACATAAAAGAAGGTCCTCGACCGGAAGTGTCCCAGTTTCGGTGGCTACTTTTATCCTAAAAAGAATAAAAATATTCCTTCTCCCTCCCATCTAATGTTTATCAATGGTCAAACTCTCTGCTAATATTTACGAGGATTACAAACTTTCCTTTATCATACTATATATATATACGTATATTTCAATATAATTCTCGTGTCACGGCATTCATTTGAAAATCCTCTTTTGTACCCTTTGACATTTTCTATACTAAATTTTAAGCTTCATATATGAATTTTCAAGTCAAAATATAAAATAAAAAAAAAGTAATAGTAATATTAATTCTGCTAAATTATGACGTTACTAAAAATAATAATAAAATAAATTTCTTTCAGACACGGAAAAAAAAAATTTACCTGAAACAGCAAAAAGATTTCACTAGATAAGCGAAAAATTTACCTAAATCAAGTAAAACTTTTGCTACTACAGTGAAACGTTTCGCTGTTTCAGGTAAATCTTTTTTTTTTCCTTGGACAATATTTTTCTTTCCTAATATTTTCGAATTTTGTTCTTTTTTATCAAATGTGAAACTATACCATAAACTGTTGGCAATGGAAGAATCTACTTTATCTTCATTCGATGTTGATGAAAACAAAATTTGATCTTTACCGACTGCTGGCAACATTAAACTCTACCTTATCTTCAGCCAGCAAGGTAGAAAATCGAAATTTCTCATTTGCAGACTGTTGCCAATGGAGGAATCTACTTTATATGGAGTCGACAATGAAGAAAACGAAATTTATTCTTTACCGACTGCTGGTAGTACAGAATTCTACCTTATCTTTAACCGGTAAGGTAAAAAACCGAAATTTCTTCTTTGCGGACTGTTGCCAATGGAAGAATCTACTTTATATTCAGTCGACAATGAAGAAAACGAACTTTATTCCATACCGACTGCTGTTAATATAAAATTCTACCTTATTTTCAGCCGGTAATATAGAAACCCGAAATTCCTGCTTAGCGCACTGTTGGCAATGGAAGAATCTACTTTATCTTCCATCGACAATGAAAAAAATCAAATTTATTCTTTACCGACTGCTGGTAATATAAAATTCTACTTTATCATCAGTCGGTAAGGAAGAAAACCGAAATTTCTATTTGCAGTAGGTCTAGTGAATCGAGAATGTGAAAATAAACGGAAACCCCCCCGAAACAGTAAAAAGATTTCACTAGAATAGCGAAAAATTTACCTAAAAAATTTACTTTTGCTACTACAGTGAAACGTTTCGCTGTTTCAGGTAAATCTTTTTTTTTTCCTTGGACAATATTTTTCTTTCCTAATATTTTCGAATTTTGTTCTTTTTTATCAAATGTGAATTCTTAAAAAAAAAAAAAAATTACATATTCACAAAGGTTTTAAATGAAACATAATTTCGTTGATTTAACGAACAACAGGAGTAAAATAAATTGAGGTAATTGGAGTGATGTTTTTGTTGATTTAAATAAATCGATATCAAAAAAAGGGGGGAGGGGGTATTGGAAGAGTTTAAAACATCCGTGGTTGGACTGAGTTAAAATTGATTGGTCCTTGCTAACAGGGACATGTCACTTGCATCTAAAACTATACCATAAAAAAAAGTGCATAATTCAAAGGCTCGTTTTTATTCGCGAGCTACATTCAACTTTTTTTTTTTTTTTTTTCTTCATTAATAAAAATCTAAAAGAAAATTGAACATTCATTGTTATTCAAATTTTTTCGATCGAAAGCCAATTTCTTTTTTCTTTTTTTTACATATACTATCTATATATGTAAATTTTGAATAATAATTGATCTAAAGTAAATGAAAATAATTTATCAAAATTTAATAAAATAATACACTAACATTAAAAAATTAAATAAAAAAAAAGAATTAATAAAATTTAAAAAAAAAAATTTACTGAAATAAAAATGTGATTAATTGAAAATGAAATAATGAAAATAATTAATTAAATGATGAAAATATATTTCGTTTAAAGATTTCCATCTTTCAATACATAATGGTTATAAAAAAAAATAAATGAAATTAAGTGTATATTGATTAAATAATTATGTATGGGGAATTTTATTTTGTCCCGGAAATAAATATAAAATTACGTTTTTTTTTTAGCTTTTATAACTATAATATTACTCCCATCGACTGGATGATACTGTTTTATTTTCTCTTTTTTCTCTTTCAAAAAATCTTCCATACTTCCAACAGTACGGAAAGCGAAGTCATTTCCGGAACACGAAATGTGGAAATCGTGGTTAGTATATCATACTTTAGTATATGAAACTCGTAATGCTAGAATGATGTGTTATTTACATTCATACATTGAGCTTATGTACTCAACTCAGGAGGGAGGGTATTTTTTTCTGGGGATAAAAATAGAATTTGATTTTTTGCAGCCGCAAAAACCTTTATCATAAATGTTCAAACAAATATTTAATTTCCTCAAAAAATTAATGTTCTAATTTCGCAAAAAAAAAAAAAACAACTCTTCTGTTTGAAAAAGAAATATTTTTTTCAATTTTCATGGAATTGTTTTACTTGAAATAAATTTTTTTTTTTTTTTATTAAAAATAACTAAAAGTTTATTAATATTATACATTTTAAGCGGTAAAATATAGAAACCTCTCGAATTAAAAATTATTTTAATCCTTTTTTTACAATAGTTATCAAAAAAAAAATTTTGCTATTAGATCATTTTAGAAATTTTGTTCCACACGCATAAAAAAAGTTTGCTGTGGTAGAGAACTATTTATTGTCACATCAAATTACGTTGGATATAATATAGGAACAGCGAACAAATTTTTCTCTGGGGTCAAAAAAGTTTGCTGTGACAGTAAATTTAAAAAAATTAAAATTGTTATTGTTTATCACAGCAAACTTTTTTCATTGTCCTAGCAAAAAAAAATTAGCTGTGGTTACTAATTTTGATAGATCCGATAACAAACATAAGTTAGCATTATCAGTTAGTGTTAAAAAAAGTTTGCTATAACAATGAATTTATAAAAATTAAAAAAGATATTGTTTATCACAGCAAACTTTTTTCGTTGTCCTCGCAAACAAATTAGCTGTGGTTACTAATTTTAATAGATCCGATAACACACATAAGTTAGCATTATCAGTTAGTGTCATACAAGTTTGCTGTGACAGTAAATTTTAAAAAATTAAAATTGTTATTGTTTATCACAGCAAACTTTTTTCATTGTCCTAGCAAAAAAAAATTAGTTGTGGTTACTAATTTTGATAGATCCGATAACAAACATAAGGTAGCATTATCAGTTAGTGTCAAAAAAGTTTGCTATGACAATCAAGTTTAAAAAATTAAAAAAGATATTGTTTATCACAGCAAACTTTTTTCGTAGTCCTAGCAAACAAATTAGCTGTGGTTACTAATTTTGATAGATCTGATAACAAACATAAGTTAGCATTATCAGTTAGTGTCAAAAAAGTTTGCTGTGAAAATAAATTTTAAAAAATTAAAATTGTTATAGTTTATCACAGAAAACTTTTTTCATTGTCCTAGCAAAAAAAATTAGCTGTGGTTACTAATTTTGATAGATCCGATAACAAACATAAGTTAGCATTATCAGTTAGTGTCAACAAAGTTTGCTATGACAATCAAGTTTAAAAAATTAAAAAAGATATTGTTTATCACAGCAAACTTTTTTCGTAGTCCTAGCAAACAAATTAGCTGTGGTTACTAATTTTGATAGATCTGATAACAAACATAAGTTAGCATTATCAGTTAGTGTCAAAAAAGTTTGCTGTGAAAATAAATTTTAAAAAATTAAAATTGTTATAGTTTATCACAGAAAACTTTTTTCATTGTCCTAGCAAAAAAAATTAGCTGTGGTTACAAATTTTGATAGATCCGATAACAAACATAAGTTAGCATTATCAGTTAGTGTTAAAAAAAGTTTGATATGACAATGAATTTTTAAAAATTAAAAAAGATATTGTTTATCACATCAGACATTTTCGTTGTCATAGTAAAAAAAATTAGCTGTCGTTACTAATTTTGATAGATCCGAGAGCAAACATAAGTTAGCGTCATCAGCGTCATCAGTTAGCATCAAAAAAGTATGCTGTGACAATAAATTCTTAAAAATTAAAACTTATATTGTTTATCACAGCAAACTTTTTCGTTATGCCATAGCAAAAAATGTAGCTGTTCATACATCCGATAGCAAACATAAGTTCGCGTGTGTATTCATTTTTTTCCATGCATAAATAATTTTAAAAAAATGTAATTAAATTATATTCATATAATTATATATTTAATTTATTTTTTATTCCTGTTAGTGCCAGTTACGTTTAATCGTATATTTAAAACGATCCATTATATATTTATCTCTCTTATTCTGAATAGATTGAATTTCTAATCCATGATCAATTCCTGAAAGTATGGGAGGTCCTAAATTTTCAAATGTTTCATTATTTGTTAAATGAATATTTTTTAACGTCAAATATAATTTTTCATTGTTTAATATTTTTTGCAACGATGATATTAGTGATATTGTTTCCAATGTTGTTCCATATTGAGACAAAAGAATACGAGTTCTATTTGTTGTAAATTGTTGATAAATTTGATTAAATTGCATTAAAATTTGAATCTGTTTCTTATTTGATAATTTTATTGGACAATTATTTGGTGAATCATTTCTTTCAATGAAGCCAACAATGCAGGAATAGAGTAAAGATAGACAATACGTATTTTCATTGTGATTTAAAATATTATGTTGATTGTAAAAATTTATCTCCGTTTTAGAATTCAATTCTTTTTTACAATCAACAAATGTTTTACCACTAATTTCATATCGATCAAACATTAAATTATTATTTATTTCTTCATCTGTTACCATTTTAAATTGAAAGTATTTGTGTAGAATATTGCTTAATTGCTCTTTACGAATTCTTTCTAAAGGCACTAAATTTTTTAAACTTGAACAATTATAATTGGTAGAATTATTGATATAATTATCAATTTCATTATTCAATTGTGTCTCAATTGAAAATTCACATTTATCCATTAATTCCTGTTCTGCTAATGTTCTGTCATTTTTAAAATTTAATACAGCCAAGTAGTATTGATATTTTGGATCAGTTTCTTTTGCCTTTTTTAACAATTCTTCCGAATTATTTAGATAGGAAAATAAAAATTCATAAGCTGTACTCCAATGAATTGGTTGAGAAATAATTTCTTTTATCATATTCACATTATGAATATATTTCTTATTTACATAAACATAATGAAGAATAGCTGGAAGTGCAAAAGTTTTTAGCCATAATTTTTTAATGATTCCATTAGTTGCCAATTGTTGAATTTCTAATCCCATTTCAAGGCATTTATCAAAAAAATCATTTTGAATATGTTTAGATTTTTTTGAATTGGTATTTGTATATGAATATAAATAACGACATCCAGCATGAGAGTAAATTAAATCCATTGAATAGAGTGAAAGATTATTTCTCAATTGTGGAAAAAGTGGAACAATTGTTTTTTCAAATATTCTCTCAATTACCAATTCATCGAGTTTAATTGTTCTTATTTTCATGCTAGTTAATGATAATTTAACATTTTCCAAAAAAACATCAAGTGAATAATCATCATTATTTGAAATAAGAACATGATATGCCAAAAATCCGTAAATATTTCCATATTCATTGAAAATCACACTATGTATTATGTGATCGAATAAAATTTTTTTAAATTTCTGATTATAATTAATATTTACATTATTTTTGTCGTAAAGAACATTATTGTTCATTAAACAATATGTTAAAGAATTTGTAGAAAATTTATCAACCTCATGATCATTCAAATACGTTACAAATGAATTAATAATTTCAAATGAATTTGTTTTGTCATTGATATGTGAATTGTAATTTGGATTCATACAATTATTCAACCTTTGTAAATATAAGATCATAGAAATATTTCGAATGGTAATTAAAGTTCTCGGCAAATTTATAACATCCATTTTGAAATAGCCAATTTTTCAAAAATTAATCTAAAATTAAAAAGCAAATTAAAAATACGATTTTCAATTGTTCTTTCTTTACTTTTGATAAAAAAAAAAAATTTTAATTACTTACATATATGAAGCGTAATATTGAGTAATTGTTATAAAAGATATTTAGAACTATTAAAAAAAAGTTATGAAATACTCTGTATTTATAATATTCGTAAAATATGTAATGTTTACAATAGATAATGGACGTAATTTTTTTTCATTGGCTGTTTCAATTATTTACTTTCTTATTTTATATATCAATATTAAAATGACACAGCAAAACGAAATTTTATTATTCCAAACTTATGCAATATTGATTTAATAACTGAAACAATTTAAATAAAAAATTTTATGTGTGTCAAATACATTTTTTTAAAAAAATTCCGTACTCGTGGAATTAATAGAAAATATTTTTTAATTTTATGTACCTAATTTTTCCATGACAAAAAAAAATTAATTTCCAAAATAAATGTAAAGATATAAGGCAGGAATTTTAATATCGAAATTTTTTTTTCAATATTAACATTTAAAAAAAAAAAAAAACTTTACATATTAAATAAAAATATTTACCATATTTTCGTTTATGATATTCAATTGTAAAGTGTTCAAATATTAAAACTCAATTGCACTTTTCTTGACCTTTCACAATTCTCCAAAGAGAAACTGCAATAAAAGTTGGAGATTATTTTTATCTCCTATTTTTGTTGTGCGCACATTGTTTTCATTCTCTTTGACAATTTACCTTTCATCTCATTTTTATATTTTATTTAAGACAAAGAATTTTTTTTTTTTCAACTACATACTCTTTTGATGAATAAAATTCACAAAAAATTAATATTTCTTTTTCAAACATTTTTTCAGTTGTTTTTTTTTCTCTCTTTAATATATATCTTTTATATTACGGTTATTTTTAGAAAAATTAAATCATTTTTTTTTTAAACTGTTTCTATATATGGAAAATGTTGAACATATATATGAAATGTTAAATTTATAATATTAAGGGAGTGTCCTGTTATAAGGATTAAGTGACTTAAGTTTCGTATAGTTTCGAAAGATAGTTGCTAGAAACTGGGAATATAATATGAGGAGCATGACAGATACCCAATATCATTCAAGTGTTGGGTTTCCGCGTTTCCGGTTCTGTATATCTGTAATTTATTCCACTGTACATATATTCAGCCTTGGCTATAATTCAAATGCGCGTATGTTGAGCTCAAGAGAATAGATCACTTCAATGCTATAAATTTTCAAGAAACTACCATTTCAACACCTACAATTAGTGTGTACCTTGAATTTTTTTTTTTTCAAAACAAAAAAAGAAATTATCTGATTTTACACACAACCATACTAAAATTGTTCCTCCCGCATACATTTAGCAAAATCAAATTTAGCAGAATTTTCATTAACACAGAAAATTATAAGGTATTAAAAATAAGCTGCAACGCTTATTATTTTAATCCAATTTTGCTTATTTTAATCCATTTTGGTATTAAAATAAGCAAAATTGGATTAAAATAATAAGCGTTGCAGCTTATTTTAATGCCTTTTAATTTTCATTAAACCGATTTTCTGTAAATTATAGAATTTTTATATAATCGAAAAATAAATTTTCATTTAACATAATTTGTCAAAATAATTATTTGTGGCCACCTTCTTTTTTTTGTAATAAACTAAAAATTAATTCGACACCTCAAAAATTCTAATGAGTTTAAGGGCATATCAAAGTTGTGACAATTTTATCATATATTAGGTTACCATGAAAAAATTTGGGACTACTTTTACATGCCCTTAATGTGGACAATATTAATGCATCCCAAAACATTTATTTTCAAAAAAATAGCAAAATTAACATTGAGAAAAATATGCTATTGAATCAACAGCATTTCTGCCAAAAGGTATAAAAATTATTGATACAAAAGCATATATATATATGCTTCAGAATCAATAATTTTTATGCCTTTAGCAGAAATACTATTGATTCAATAGCATATTTTTCTCAATATTAATATTTCCCTATTATTTATAAGAAAATATTTAATAGAAAAAATAATCTTTTCAAAAACTATCTTTCCAATGAAAATATTTTTCATATTAAAAAGGAAAAATTTTTCAGATATAAAAATATATATATATATATATAAGTTTTAAAAACTTTTTTCAGATATAAATATTTAAAAAAACTTTTGATGAACTATTCGCTTATCACTTCTATATATATATACATATTGGCAAAAAAGAATATTCGGATGAAAAATGCACTCATCAAAAAGAAAATATAGGAAATTATATCGGGTTGGCAATTTCCGATTTTGCCAGATCTTGCGCACACGCAATTTCGTTGGCATGGATAGGCAATTTGAATATATATAGTTTGACAATTTTTCTTTTCTCTCTCCCTCTCTCTCTCACTCTCTAGTAGTGGCGTGAGTGTAACATATTTTATCAAATGTAATTTTTTTTCTCACCCACCCCGATTTTTTTTTATTTTTTTTTTTTTTGACGAATATATGACGTCACGTGCAACAAACGTAAATTTATAAGCGTGTGCAGAAAAATATGAACTCAGCTGGAAAAGAGAGAAAGAGAAAAAGAGCAGAAAACGGATTCTGCGGCAATGGTGGCTCCAGACAGTCTATCAGCTATGCAACGATTCTTTTCCCACAAACGATTATACCACATATGTACCATATTCAATTCACGCATCACATCATTAATTGAATAATATAGATACTATTTTCAATATAATATTAAATACCAATAAAATTTCACATTATGTTACATTTAATATTAAATGTTTCCAAATTAATACTCTCTAAATCTGAATTAGTAGATTTCCACTATTCTCTAAATCTGAATTAGTAAAAATGTTTACTAATTTAAATTAGTGACTCACTTTTTGCTTTAGAATTAGTTAAATTTTACTAATTGTTAGTAAAAGTTACTAGTAATTAGTAAAATTTTACTAATTCCTAAGCAAAAAGTGAGTCACTAATTCAAATTAGTAAACACTTTTACTAATTCAGATTTAGAGAGTAACCCAAAAAATTAAAAGGCATTAAAATAAGTTGCAACGCTTATTATTTTAATCCAATTTTAGTTATTTTAATCCATTTTCACTGTAAAAAGAAGGTAGTAAAATAGTACTGATTTTAGGTATTAAAATAGAACCAAAAGGCAATTCAGTACCTAAAGTTGGTATTAAATTAATACCTCTCGTTTTACAGTGTTGGTATTAAAATAAGCAAAATTGGATTAAAATAATAAGCGTTGCAGCTTATTTTAATACCTTATAATTTTCTGTGAATAAAAGAGTGCGTATTCGTTTACCAATTGAATTAGTAACAATTTTGACTCTTTTTTAGTAGAAAACTACTAATTGCTAGTAGAAAACTACTAATTTATGGAGTAAGTCATATTTTTTACTATTTCAAATTAGTAAGCTGATTTACTCCATGAATTAGTAGTTTTCTACTAGCAATTAGTAGTTTTCTACAAGCAATTAGTAGTTTTCTACTAGCAATTAGTAGTTTTCTACTAGCAGTTAGTAGTTTTCTACTAAAAATTAGTCAAAACTGTTACTAATTCATTTGGTAAACGAATACGCACTCTTTCATTAGTAGAAAACTAATTCAGATTTAGAGAGTAAGGAAAAAAAATCCTTAGCAACCGTTGCTATAAGGAAAAGAAATTTTTAGCAACTGTTGCTAAAGGAAAAAAGCGGTCACAATAACGGTTGCTATGGCCTGGGGCTACAAAACCCTAAAAATTATAAATTCAAAAAAAAAAAAAAATGTCACACGTCCTATTTTGTTTTGTTTTTTTTTCTGAATGAGAAACAGATCGCTTTTTAACTCAGTCAAGAATCATAATTCACTTATGTTCACTTTTCAACTATCCTATACGGATAAACTTTCTAGGGTTAAGCACTGGAAGCCGAGCCGCTTGACTGGATTTAGCGGGTTCAACCACGGACATTCTAATTCAATTATAACTTTCTCTAGGTCACGCTTGTTGGCGCAAAACTCAGAATTGTGGTTTTAAGCTCCCGCACAAGCTTCAGCGGCAAACCTTTTCCGACTTTTTTATTATTATTATTATTATTATTATTTTTTGTTTATTTCCCAGTGACATATAAGATAACAGTATAAGCTCCTGCGAAAATACAGATATACATATATACATACATAATATTCTCTAATTAAAATAAATACCCGCAGCCGTTAAGACCGCATTGTAAATTCTCTTGAAACCACAATAATTATCCTAAAATGCTTCCACGACAATTCACGTATTCATATATAAATGCGAAAATAAAGGACGATTTCGCAAAATATATATCTATACTTCCATATTTTAAAAATTTTTTTTCAAAACGGATTTTTAATTTTAAAACTTTTACAGAAAATTAAAAGGCATTAAATTAAGCTGCAACGCTTATTATTTTAATCCAATTTTGCTTATTTTAATACCAAAATGGATTAAAATAAGCAAAATTGGATTAAAATAATAAGCGTTGCAACTTATTTTAATGCCTTTTAATTTTCTGTGTTTATGTCTTCAATGCACTGAGAAAAATATGCTATTGAATTAATAGCATTTCTGCCAAAGGTATAAAAATTATTGATTCAAAAGCATATACTATTGAATTTATTAAATACTTTACAAATTTTATAGCATACACAGAAAATTAAAAAGGGATTAAAATAAGCTGCAACGCTTATTATTTTGATTCAATTTTGCTTATTTTAATACCAAAATGGATTAAAATAAGCAAAATTGGATTAAAATAATAAGCGTTGCAACTTATTTTAATGCCTTTTAATTTTCTGTATATGCTTTTGAATCAATAATTTTTATACCTTTGGGCAGAAATACTGCTGATTCAATAGCATAATTTTCTCAGTGTGAGATGGTACTAATCATTCACAAATAAACAAAAATATTGTGCACAAGTAATTCTACAAGTAAAATAAATTTAAAATACCATTATTTTCTATAAATTTTGTTCACAAATGATTTGAAATTTTAGAAATTTATTACCCTCATATCGAACATAAAATTTACCAAGTTTCAAATCGATCCACAATAATAAATTTTAATT